TCTGTAATGCTCTCTGGTTGTGAATCCTGTCATCTGTGAGGTTCCAGCCCTGCTGTGTGTTCTGCATTGTAGAGCTGGTGCTGTTGTGAGACCAGTGCACAGGGTCCTACTGCAGAACCAGAGGAGTTTGACCTCTCTCTTGCAGAGCTTTCTCAGATCCTTTAACCAGAACACTAGATGGGAATATCAGCCTTCAATTCCATCCAAAGGCTGGGGAGCAGAGACTTGAAAAACTTGAATTCCTGTTCTTCTTTTCTGCTGGTTTTTATCCAGTCAGGTTTTGAACACTTGTAGCTGATTTTCTGTCAGTTGTCCATGCAGACATGACCCAGACTGGCTGTGGTAGCAAAGCTTTGACTGAACTGGCTGCCTGGCAGGGGCTGAGAGTCACTGCAGAGCTGGAGGAGTGGCAGCCTCATAGCCAGGACTGCTGGCTAGTGAACTGCTGGCTAGTGAGAGTTAACTTTCGTTTCTGCTGCCTCCCACCTGAGCAAGACTGTGATGTCTGAGGAACAGTGTAGAGAAACTTGTATTCCTTCTGCCTGTAGTGTGTATGGAGGTAAAACAAGAGATGATCATGTGCTATTAACTGCCCCTATCCCTAAAAATTCCAAATCCCTTTGGCTATGTAACCCAGAAAAGCTGTCTTGTTCAGGCACAAGTCTCAGGAAGGGTTTCAAGAGAGAACCAGGAGCGATGAGAATATTTTAGACCTTTGTTTACTCTCTTATTTTCAAGGTTGTAAACAAAGCTAAGCCAGCAATGAATTCATTCCCTGGTTTCTCTGTGCCCTTCTCTCATTGCTTTTCTCCCTCTGCAATGAAGGAATGTTCTCTGTTCATCGAGAGGACAGCAGAGAAGCTCTAAAGGTGTCCTCCTGTGTCTGCCCTCAGGGGACTCCTCGGGTGCGGATCCTGTCGAGCGGGAGGTACCTGCAGATCAACAACGCTGCCCTGGGGGACACAGCCACCTACACCTGCAGAGCAAGGAATGTGGCAGGAGAGATGAGCAGGGAGTTCGTGCTGACAGTGCATGGTAAAGTCATTGTGCTGGTTTGAGCTGAAGTAGAGTTAACTTTCTTCATAGAGGCTAGTATGGGGCTATGTTTGGGTTTGGTGCGGAGCACAGAGTTGATAATGCAGAGATGTTTTTGTTATTGCTGAGCGGAGCTTGCACGGAGTCAAGGCCTTTGCTGCTTTCCGTGCTGCCACACTGGCAAGGGAGTTGGGGATGCATGGGAGACTGGGAGGAGACACAGCTGGGACAGGGGACCCAAACTGACCAAAGGGATCTTCCATACCATAGCACATCATGCTCAGTGTATAAGGTGGGAGGAAGAAGGAGGAAGGGGCAACATCTGGAGTGATGGTGTTTGTCTTCCCAAGGAACCGTTACGGGTGATGGGGCCCTGCTCTCCTGGAGATGCTGAACACCTCCTGTCTTCGGGAAGCAGTGAATTAATTCCTTGTTTTGCTTTGCTTGTGTGAGAGGCTGCGTGGTTCTTGGCTGCTGCTGGGGTTAAACCATGACAGTCATGGATCCAGCCCCGTGTGCTCTGACCTGTGCGTGGCATTTTGCAGGAGTTCAGGCCGCAGGAAGGGAGCGTTAGGAGTCTCTTGGCCGTGCCAAAGCTGTGGGACCATGTGTCTCTGGCCTGGTTGGTGCCACCATCTGAGTCCCAGGACCTGTGGGGACTCCCAGTGACTCCCTCACATCCTTCTGTGCTTCCTGCTCGTGGAGGCTGTGCCTAGCCTTTATCCTGTTGTGGTGTTGGGATACATCTGGAATCAACACCCAGATCCAGGACTCAGAGATGCTCTGGGACAAATCCAGAGAAACCCTTTGGAAGCATTTGGCTGCACCTCGTGGGCCTGGCTTTCACAGCTGGCTTGGCCACCAGTTCTGAAGGTTACCTGAAAACTGTGGCAGCTTCTCTGCACCTGTAAGCAGGAGGGGACAGGGCTTGAAGGGCCAGTGCATCCCAGCACTCACCCTGTGCCACCATAGCCCGGAGTTCCATTTGAAACCTATTTATTTTCTCATCTCTAGTCCAATGAGAAACTGTTCTACTCTTACCCTTGGGTGGTGAGAAGGAACTCCTTTCCTATTGCTACTCCCAGCCCAGTAACTTACAAAGTTGTCTCTGACAGTGCATTTCAGCCCAGTTTCCTTTCTCATTCCCTGCTGCATCTTGGCATTTACCATGTGCTGCCCAAAGGTAAGAAACTTCTTCCTGTCTCTGCAGTGATCCCCAAACCTGCTGCTTCCTCTCTTGTCATGTGTTCAGTTTCAGTCATGGCAGGGTAAAGTTATTTTCTTTGTCTCATCCAGGATTTTCCCTTCACAGTGGCTCCCTCGATCCGGAGCAGTCCCCACACTGCTGTGGTGCACATCAATGCATCTGCTCTGCTGGAGTGTGCTGCAGGAGGAGTGCCAACCCCCAGAATCACCTGGAGGAAGGATGGGGCTGTTCTGACTGGGAACAACTCAAGGTATTGTCCAGAAGTCTGCATAAATATTCTTCATTGTTATTTAAGAGTGAATTCACTGCAGAAAGTTTAATTAGACATGGAGTTGTTGTACAGAAAAGTAGAAATACCAAAGGTTTCACCCTTTTATTGTTAAGAAGGGCAAAAAAAACCCCCCTTTGACAGCTAAATATAATAATAGTTATTCTGATAATAAATACTTTGAGCAGTAAATGGGAAAGATCTTGGAATTTTTTTTTTCTATATAGGCAGAGTTTTGGAGTGAGGCCAAGGAATTTCATGCTGACCAAAAGTGACTTGAGTGGATTCTGTATTTTGTAATACATCAAACTTTTTATACGTGTTCTAGTGTCCACTTTTGTTAAAGTGAATGGTTTCTGTCCTCTGACTGTTTCAAAGGGGGAGTAGCTTGACAGTTCTACAACTAAAGAATTCAGTTGCATTTCAAGAAAAAGTGCAAGAATTAATTGAAGTTTTTTAAGGTTTAATGAGAAACCATAAAAAGAAAAGGGGTTTGACTGTTTTCTGCAAATCCTGTATCATTTATGTGCAGTCACTGTGTCAGCTAGATATCATCCTTTCTCTGGGGAAGAGTGAAGTCAGAGTAAGTGCAATAAATGAGGAAACACTATGTGGCCAAATCAGGACACCCCATGTTGAGGCCATTTGTTGTGTCCCCTGAGTCACCTTTTCCTCTGCTCTACCAGGACAGCCTGTGGCCCTGCTGGCACGACAGCAGGCAACAACATGTGGCTTTGTTTCAGATATTCCCTGTTAGAGGATGGATCTCTACACATCCCCTCAGCACACGTTACTGACACAGGGAGATACATGTGTATGGCCACCAACACAGCTGGCACTGAGCGCAAGCGAATCGATCTGCAGGTTCTTGGTAAAATTTTGGGTTTACAAGTCTGAAATTCACTTCTATCATTATTCCTGTTGTGCCAGAGGCAGTTTTAAGTTTAGCCCCTTTTTAGCTGCTCTGGTTGAAAAAGGAAAAAAAAAAACCAACCAAGGAATGTTTAGCCTTAGGAATACAACCCAAACATTCGTGAGAAGAAAATAGTTATGCCTTGTCCTGAACTAGAAAGACTTGACACATCACATGCTATGCCTTTACTAGGTTTGCTACTGTCGTGTTACTCTTGATAAAAATTAAGCCAATGTGTTCAGACAGTTTAGCTCTATATACTTAGGTATGTGTTTGGCATATATTTATATGTGTAATTATTCTGAGTAATTTGGCTTTGTTTGTCCTTAGTTCCTCCAACTATTGCTCCTGGGCAGACAAATATCACAGTTACTGTAAATGTGCAGACCACTTTGCCTTGTGAAACCACTGGAATTCCCAGACCAGCAGTTAGCTGGAAAAAGAATGGGCATCTGCTTAGTGTTGACCAGAACCAGAACACATACAGGTGAGAGATGTTTTCTTTGCACTGTGGGTTCAAAGTTTCCAGGGATGGTTTTGGCACTTTAAAAATCTTGCTGTGCATCACTGTCATCTGTCTAGCCAGTGATTTCAGCAGGCTGATTACCTCAGAGGAAAGGAAGTATTTCAATGGCTTTTACTTTCTTTTTTCTTTGTTCAGACTTCTGTCTTCAGGCTCCTTAGTAATCATTTCTCCCACTGTGGATGACACTGCTGTCTATGAGTGCTCTGTGTCAAATGATGCAGGAGAAGATCAAAGAGCAGTTGAGCTCACTGTTCAAGGTAAAGGGGATATTGCTGTTTCATGTGTGTGGCACCCAGAATTTCTTTGGGGAGTTCAAATACTGAGATAAGATTTTTTTATATCATTGCTTTATGATACTGATATCCACAGGTCTCTGGTATTCCCATGAAAGATAAGTTATTTCCAACAATTCATGACAGTGAACCTGGGCAAGTAACCTTTACACCAATCTTCATTTTCAGTCCCCCCATCCATAGCAGATGAAGCCACAGACCTGCTGGTAACAAAACTATCTCCAGTCATGATTTCCTGCACCTCCTCCGGAGTTCCTGTCCCCTCAGTTCACTGGACCAAAAACGGCGTGAAATTGCTGCCCAGAGGAGATGGCTATAGAATTCTCTCTTCAGGTAATGCACTGCAGGCAGTGGGAGGCTACAGTTGGGTGCATCTAGAAATAATTAGAATCAATCATAGAACCAACCAGGTTGGAAAAAACCTCCAAGATCACCAAGACAAACCCTCCCGTGGTCACTAGCCCATGGCACTAAGTGCCACATCCAGTCTCAGCTTGGAAACCTCCAGGGATGGGGAATCCACCACCTCCCTGGGCAGCACATTCCAATGCCTGAGCACTCTCTCCCTAAAAAATCTCTTTCTAATATCCAACCTAACCCTCCCCTGGCAGAGCTTGAGTCTGTGCCCTCTTGTCCTGCTGCTGTTGCCTGGGAGCAGAGACCAACCCCCACCTGACTCCAACCTCCTGTCAGGGAGTTGCAGAGGGTGATGAGGTCTCCCCTGAGCCTCCTCTTCTCCAGGCTGAACACCCCCAGCTCCCTCAGCCTCTCCTCATGCCACTTGTGCTCAGTCCCTTCCCCAGCCTCGATCACATAGAGACCTGCAATGCCTCAAAGACCCAACGCCTTAGACTCAAAGCATCCCTCGCAGGGGGATGCTGGAGGGGAGATTGCTGTGATGTGATTCCTGGATGCTCTGTGTGCTGTGATGCTCTCTCTGCCCTAGGAGCTGTTGAAATCCCCTCTGCCCAGCTCGCCCACTCCGGCCGGTACACGTGCGTGGCGCGGAACGCCGCGGGCTCGGCTCAGCGACACGCCACTCTGCACGTGCAGGGTAAGGGGGAGGGGGAACAGCAGGTCTGTTCTGGCAGGAAACATTGCTAACTCAGCCTGTATTTTTGGTTCCACAGAGCCACCAGTTATCCAGCCTCAGCCAGGGACGTTGGATGTCATTGTGGGCAATCCCATTGTGCTGCCGTGCGAAGCTGCGGGCACACCTCGGCCTGTGGTCACCTGGCAGAAGGAGGGCATCAACATCATCCCCACAGGTATCTCCCTGAACCTCCTGACTCAGCATGCTTGTTGGGGCTCAGGCACTGATTTGCTCTTCTTTTGAATGCTTTGGTTCCTCCTACCCATTCATTCAAATCCAAAAACCAAACCAGGAATGTCATGCTTTGATTATTTTGATTTTAGGTGACAGTTACATGGTTCTTCCAAGTGGCAGTTTAAAGATTGCAAAAGCAGCTGTGGAAGATGCTGGCACTTACATGTGCATTGCTCAAAATCCAGCTGGCACTGCTCTGGGGAAGATCAAACTGAAAGTTCAAGGTAAATAGTCTTTTAAATTCTTTTTTCCATTGGTCCAAACACAATTCTAAGCAAAGAAAGGGACCTAATGTTTTCCTGTTTGATGTGATGCTGAATAGAGCCCAGGAGATTTTTTACCTTTAGTTCTGTGTCTACCTTAGGATTAAAATATGCTTTTGGGGTTATTTTTAGTAAGGACTAGAGCATTCCATGCTTCTTACAACAGTTCTTTTACTGATTTCCCTGATTCCTTTCAGTTCCTCCCGTTATCAAGTCCCAGCTCCAGGAATATGTTGTTGCTGTTGATCAGTCTGTCACTCTGCAGTGTGAGGCTGAAGGCTACCCTGGGCCAGAGATCAGCTGGCATAAGGATGGGCAGGAGATAACAGAGTCCATGAGGAGGAGAATCCTCAGCACTGGTGCCCTGCAGATCGTGTTTGTGCAGCCTGGGGACACTGGTCGTTACACCTGCACAGCAGCAAACCCAGCAGGGTCCAGCACCTCCAGCATGGAGCTCACTGTGCACAGTAAGGAATCCTCTGCTGGGAGGGTGGTGAGCCACTGCCATGGGTTGTCCTGGGAGATTGTGGACTCCTCATCCCTGGGGAGTGTCCCAGGCCAGGCTGGATGGGGCTGGAGCAGCCTGGGCTGGGGGGAGGTGTCCCTGCCCAGGGCAAGGGTTGAAACAAGGTGATCTTTAAGGTC